GTGCCTTAGCCACTATGCTACCAGAGCAGTCCATGGTATATTCAGTATTCTTTACCAACACCATAATTCAAAGGCATCAGTTCTTCCATGGTCTTCCTCATTCATTGTTGAACTCTCACATGTATATGAGGCAGTTGAAAATATCATTGCTTCAGTCAGGTGCACTTTAGTCCTCAAAGTGACATCTTTGCTTTTTTGACACTTTCAAGAGGTCTTTTACAGCAGATTTTCCCAATGCAGTATGTCATTTGATTTCTTGACTGCTGATTGGGTGTTGATTGTGGATCCAAGTAAAATGAAATCTCTTAGAAGTTCAGTCTTTTCTCCATTTATCATGATGTTGCTTATTGGTCCAGTTATGAGGATTTTTATTTCCTTTATGTTAAGGTGTAATCCAGACTGAAGGCTGGAGTCTTTAATTTTCATCAGTAAGTGCTTCAACAAGTCTTCTTCACTCTCAGCGAGTAAGGTTGTGTGATCTGTACAGTGAAGGTTGTTAATGAGTCTCCTTCCAATCCTGATGCTGCCTTCTTTAGACCAGCTTCTTGGATTATTTGCTTAGCATACAGATTGAATGAGTATGGTGAAAGGATACAACTGTGATGCACTTCTTACCTGATTTTAAGCCACACAGTATCCTCTTGTTCTGTTTGAATGACTGCTTATTGCTCTATATACAGATTCCACATGAGCACAATTAAGTATTCTGGAATTCCCATCCTTCTCAGTGTTATCCATAGTTTGTCGTGATCCACACACTTAAAAACTTCTGCATACATCTTTACAATGTTTTTCTCTGCTTTCGACTAACATCCATCTGACTTCAGCAATGATATCTCTCATTCCATGTCCTCCTCAGCATCTGGCCTGAATTTTCTAGATACTTTATCCCTATTCAAGGAGCTCTGGTAGCACAGTGACTAAGGCATCTGACTGCTAACCAGAGGGCTGGTTGTTCAAACCCACCAGCCACTCCACAAAAGCAAGACTGGGCAAACTACTTCTGTAAAGATTTGACACCTCGGAAACCCAAAGGGGGTCGCTATGAGTCAGAATTAACTTGATGGTAGTGGTTTTTTTATTTATCCCTATTCTAGCTCAACTGTCCCAGTCATGTAAATCTGTTTTCAGTACATTTAAACACGTTGTATTCTCTCTGAATTTCATCTTCTTGAAGAAACCTCTCCTGGAGTCTTCTGACCTGCCCCATACGCAGTGGTTGCTTACTAGGTCTGTTGCATATTTATCATCTTGGGGTCTTGGTATTCTCTTCACCTGTGTCTCATATGGACTTTTCCTGTTTCCTCAGTGCCATGCCTTCATCTTTCTTGTTTTACCCTCTTGTTTGGTGGAACACATGCTCTACTACTGAGAAAGTATACATGGGAAGTAATTTTTTTGAGATTGCATGTCTGAAAATGTTTTTATTTTCTCCTTGCACTTAAGTGCTAGCTTGGCTGAGTATAGAATTCTAGGTAAGAATTTGCCTCAGAATTTTGAACGTGTTACTCTCTTGACTTCTAGCTTCCGGTGTTGCTGTTGAGAAATCTGATGCCATTTTGATTTTTGTTCCTTTGTGGATAACCTGATTTTTTTTTTTTTTGTCTGCTTTCTGAAAGCTTATAGGAACTTCTTTTATTCCTAAAGTTCTGAAATTTTACGTGGCTGTGCCTTGACGTTGGCACTTTTTTTCATCCATTGTGCTAGGCTTATGGTGATCTCTTTGAATTTAGAACCTCAGGAAGGTTGGGCAATCTACCTCTGTGGTGATAGCGCTTCAGAAACCCAAGGAGGGGTTGCTATGAGTTGGACCTGACTCGATGGCAGTGCATTTGGTTTTTTTTGTTTGTTTGTTTGTTTTGGTCATTTACTTGGATGATTGCTTTGATTTTCTCTGATTCTCTTCTTTCTGAAATTTCTGTTCTATGAATATTAGATATACCAAATTGGTCCTCTGTTTTCTATTTTACAGTTCTTTGTCTTATTTAATTTCTGAGAGAATTTTTTCACACTTACCTTCTAGTTTCTTTATTGTGGGTTTCATTTATGGCATTATGTTTTTATGTTTGAAGAGCCCCACCCCTGTATTTGTTTTCTGAATATTCCTTTTAATAGCATCCTTTTCAGGTTTCATGAATTCATTGTTTTCACTTATTCATATGAGGATAATGATAGATTTTCCTTTAAAAATAATTGTTTCCTCCCTATATAGTTTTTGTTCAAATTGCTTTCTTATTTTTGTCTTTCACTCATATTAGATGCTTTCCTTAAATGTCTGGAGATTAATCTCTGACCACTTATAGAAGGTGTAGGCACTAAAAAATGGATAGGAAGTCCTGCATGTGTGGGTGAGTTTGTTGACCATTAGTCATCGATATGTGATGATTTACCTCAAGTTGTTTTCTGGGGGGGAGGGTTCTCCAATATGAGTAACTTTAGGTCTTTTCTGTTAGACTGGACAGTTTCCTCAACCAGTGTTCTGGTAGAAGTAGGGGAAAAAAATGGGAGTGTCTAATTTGCTAGGTAAGTATTCAAATATACCCCTTGTTTTCAATATAGTACAAAACACTCAACTGGAGCTGGTATCCCCTAGTCCAAAGACCCTCTACTTTATTCTCTCTAGGTAATAAACACATATTCTACAAGGTGAAGGAGGGAAGCCACCCAGTTGTGCATAGTGGCATGGGGCTCTGAGAGGCTAAGTGCTTCTCTCTCTCTTTTTTTTTTTTAAAAAGATTTTTATGTCTAGTTAACTTAATTTGTAGCATCTTTATTGAGATATAGGAGCTCTGGTGGCATAGTGCCTAAGGCATTTGACTGCTAACCAGAAGGCTTGCAGTTCAAACCCACCAGCCACTCCTCGGAAGGAAGGTTGGGCAATCTACTTCTGTAGTGATACTGCCTCAGAAACCCAAGGAGGGGTCGCTATGAGTTGGATCTGACTCAATGGCAGTGTGTTTGTTTTTTTTTTTTAATTGAGATATAACTAAAATAGCACAAAATTCACCCTTGTAAAGTGTAATATTTCATTGGTTTCAGTATATTCTCAAGGTTGTGAAACCATTATCCTAATCAATTTAAGAACATTTCCATCATACATAAAAGAAACTTGATTTAGCAGTCATTTCCCATGTTTCATCCCATAATTCCCAACCCTAGACAAACACTAATCTACTTTCTGTCTCTGTTTGTCTGTCCTGGATATTTCATATGGTATTATCTAATATGTGATGTTTTGTGTCTGGCTTCTTTCACTTAGCAAAATGTTTTCAAGGTTCATCCATGTAGTAGCATGTATCAGAACCTCATTCTTTTTTCATAACTGAAGCATATTTCATTATATATGTGTACACCCCAATTTGTTCCTCCCTTCATCAGTTGATGGACATTTGTGTTGTTTCCACCATGTTTCTATTGTAAATAGTGCTGCTGTGCACATTTGTATATAAGTTTTTGCTTTAAAACCTGTTTTTACTTCTTTAGGGTATATTTGTAGGAGCACAATTGCTGGGTCATATGGTAATTCTGGGTTTAAAATTTTGAGGAACTGCTAAAGTGTTTTCCACAGTGGCTGTATCATGTTATATCCCCCCAGCAGTGTATAAGAGTTCTGAATTCTCCTTATCATTGTCAGCACTTGTTATTATCTAATAACTTCTTAAACAGACTTCCAACAATGATTCTTTTTTTGAATCCTTCCTTCATCTCCAACTTTGAGAGATACCAGGTGTCCATAATTCCTAAAGCTGTTGTGGAGAGCTGGTGGTGTTCTCTAATATAAATTGAGTTGTTCTTTGGTTTTGTCTTCAGGCACTTTTCTCTAATATGGTCACTTTTTCAACACTTAATTAGTGTGGTTTCCAGTTTCTGATTTTTGTCAATGTTGTCTCTTTGCCCGTGTTTGTAATTTTTTATTTTCCTTGTAAACATATACCTTTGCCAACATTTTTGTGGGGTTTCAAGAGAGAGCAGAACTAAATGCATGTATCAGTTAACCATCTATATCCAAAACTTGTTCATTCTTACTTGAATTAGGTTATATTGGGTTCTACCCATATTCAGAAGAAGGTCCTGGATCTTACGTAGGTATAACCCCACCCTACCCTTTTTTGTTCTCCGTGTCCTATATGAACATTTCTTCCTAATCAGTCCCATCTTATCCTAATTATGGACCCAACAGTGCTCCCAGGACCCAGTGCCATGGCCCTTATATTTATAGTGGCAGTGAACCAATAACCTTGATGAAATACAGCACCAGCTGACAAGGATGTATTTTCCCTGTGATACTAAAAAAACAAAAAAGAAAACAAAAACTGCTCTCAGACCCGGTCTTATTTATATTTCTCTTCTGGGCCTTGCCCTGTGGACCTGCATGTTTTATTA